TATATATATATATATATGTGTGTGTGTGTGTGTGTGTGTGTGTGTGTGTGTGTGTGTGTGTGTGCGTATAGCGAGAGAGAGAGAGCACGGTACAGCACAGAAATTGTGCTGAACTCACACGCTTTGCTTAGAAGATGCTCTCAATTCTTTTACACTTGTTCACATTCTGTGTGAGTCTAAGCCTGAGATAATGGCTGTAAAGTGCCAATATAAATTCATGAGTAGGCTCAATGTGACTCCTACCTATTGTTGAGGAGTTAAGACTGTTGTTCACTGTTTGTTTTACTGGGAACTGAGGGAATGTGCATGGAATGTTACTGGTAATGAATGAAACTTGGCTACTCTCTTATAAGACATGCAGACTATCTGCTCTACATTTACATGGATTAAAGAATTTACAGGTAGCGATTCTCTCACCTCTTTTTCTGTTTGTTCTTGTCTTTATGTTTGTTCTTTGGGCTTCCCGACCTGAAAAAAAAAAACCCCAACAACAATGAATCTGCATTCACAGAGAGTAGAGAATTCCACGCATCACTTGCCTAAATGGACTATTCTACTGTCATTTGAAAAAGCAGTCAATTGTGTAAAAGACACAAATTGAACGCAAGCACACAGGTTACATATATGGACGTTCACATACTGAAGGACATTATTATCTGCCGTACAAACCTGTGTCTTCTCTTTTTCCTGGAGCCAGATGCAGATCTACAAAAACAAAACCATTGTAATGTCAGCACGAGGTATGCAACTTCACGAAATATTGACATGAATAATTCATATGCAGAACACAGTATCTTTTTTTAAAACACATTTTACATATTTATATATTTTTTACATATACATTTTGTGAGACTGTGTACCACATTTTCATTTTTTGAGAGCAATCCAGGCCTTCTTTTTCTTCTTCCTTCTAATTTTTTAAAGTATTCTTGAGCAATAATTCTCTAGGCTTGCTGAAGGGCTCTCAAAGTTTTTCTTCTTTTTTTGTGTTTATTTGTTTAGCCATTTAACAAAAACCTATGAATTATTCAAGTATAAAAAAAGTGCTGTACAACTAAAAGAATAAAACAATAAAAGCAATAAAAAAACAATACAAAAGAGAACAATGGAAAATTGAAAAACAAATATCAAGACTCGGTATGGTTTAAATACAGAGGAATAAAAATACATTCTCAAAAGAGTTTAGATGTTCAGTGTTGGTGAGGTGGTGATATGAAGGGGAACACTGTTCCAAAATATAGGTGTAGCTACAGCAAAGGCCCGATATTTTTGCTTGTCAGTATAATGGGAAACATCTGGTCAGCTGTTCTTGTTGATTTGTTAAAAGATCAGAAGGTAAGGAGGTGCTAACCCATTTAATGAAAGTTTAAGTTTCCATTTAATGAAACTTAAAAGCAAGCAGTCTGTGAAGGTTCTCAGTCATCCAGGTCATCGTAGTCAAAGGAGGTTGCAAAGAAAAGCGTCTGGACTTCTTTAAGTTACTTGAAGACGTTTCACCTCTCATCCGAGAAGCTTCTTCAGTTCTAAGGTCAAATGGTGGGGAGTCCCAGATTTAAACCTAGTGGGAGTATCCCCCCACAGAGGGACAAAAGGACCCCCTGATGATAAAAGCAAGCAATAACATTTTGAAATGTATTTGTGCGCTTGGGGGCAGCGTCTCATGGGAGTCGAGCTGCAGAATTTTGGAAGTTGCAGAACAGACAACAAATACCTGGTTAATGCTCAAATAAAGACTGTTGTTACAATCTAGCCTGGATGACACCTTTACAATGGAAGCTGGCTCTAAAAACAGCATAAATTTTTTTATCAAATGTGAAGCTGCTCTCAAAAATGACCCAGAGGTTTTTACAAAGGCTGTTTTTGAAGGACCAAGATCAAGTACTACTGCTTGTTTTGTTTTGTTTTTTGCTTATTAAGGTTCAAGAAGTTTGATGTTATCTATTTATATTAATATTTTTATGTCAGTAAGACACTAAGGTAAAGCATTTCAAAAAGACTGCAGTATTTCTTTTTGAGAGAGACATGGATTCACCATGCATAATGGTGACATGAAACTCCTTATTTTTGATCTTTTGATCTTAATAGGAACATATAAAGGGAAAAGAGTACTGGACCAAGAATGGTTCCTTGGGGGACGGCTGCATGTGAGGGAATCAGGTGATGAGAACAAGCCACAGAAAAATTTGCCCACGTGGCTCTCCAGCCTAGAGAATATGATGCCATGATCCACTGTATCAAATGTAGCATTTATTGTAGATCTAAAAGTATTAAAATGGCAGAATCCCCTGAAGCTGCAATTAATAAAAGATCATTAAGCACCTTTAAAATTGCTGATCCCGTGCTATAATGTGCATTGAAACCAAACTATTACAGTGACAACATTTGTTTTCAGGGAGGCCTGAAGGTGATGAAAAACAACTTTTCCCAGAGTCTTTACAACAATGTCAGGGTCTAAAAATACCAGAACGACTGATGGAGCCAAGTCCATTGATAGCAATGTTACATCCCCGGACAAGCCCCACTAATGGCTGCCATAACTAGCTCGCAGAAAAACTTAGTTGCTAAAATTTCTAAGCTGGAAGCAAAAGTTGAGACCAAATGCCAAGCTCTCAATGACCTGATCGATTCGCTTCGCAGCAATGTTTCTGACCAAACAGATGAAGTGCGGACTGAACTTTGTGCTAAGATTGATGCTCCAGCTACTACCTGCACTGACCACCATAGCCAGCTAACTAGCCTGAAAGAAGCTGCAGTATTCGGATCAGGTTGTGGACTTGGAGAAGCAAGTTCATGATCTGAAAGAAATTGTATCAGCTCTTTCGGACAAGACCGAAGACCTTGAGGGGAGACAGCGCAGATGCAACATTCGAATACTTGGCGTGAGGGAGCGCTTTGAGATTCGGACGCGCCCTGTCAATTCTGTGGCCCAGCTACTAAAGGAGATGTTGGGCCTGAATACCGCTCCGACACTGGATTGGGTACATCGCAGCCTACAGACCGTCCCTGCAAGAGACCAGAGACCCAGGCCACTTATTGTCAAATTTCATTACTTTCAAAAAAAAGGAGGAGGTGCTTTGCAGGCCCGCGTTAAACAGTCCCCAGTCCCATAATGGAGACAAAATCCTTTTTGTCTCCATTCCCAGACCTGCCATCTGCAGTCGCAAAGAGAAGGGGGGCCTTTAAAGAAGCTAAAGATCTACTGCACAGACGTCGGGGTGTGAGATTCGGGATGCTGTACCCAGCGAAGCTGAGGATTTCTTCTCCTCTTGGAGAGGAAATATTCACCAATCTAACGGCTGCTAAAGACTACGTCAAGAATTGCATCTTGGCTGTGTGTGGGAATCAAGACACGGGCTGAGTAGACTGTGCTACCTCAATTGCTCTCTGACTCTCTATTGTTCACTGACTCTGACTGCACTTTAGATAGAGGTTTGTACTTTTGCTTCTTTCATAATTTAATAGGTCTTCATATACTTGTTTATCACTGAGCAAAGTAAACGACCAAGAGAAGTCACGTGTGCCTTTCCAATCTGCCAGATGTCTAAAAATTATGTTATAGTTGGCGTTCCCTGTTAGGGGCAACATCTGTTTTAGGGAATGAAGAGACATGTTGGATATAAGCTCTTTTGGGGGGGAAGGTGTAGCTTGTTCCTGGTTTGTGGGAGTTACGTTTATAGTTACTCTGGGTTTTTACTTTTTCTTGTTGGCTGCAGTTTTGTGTGTATACTTACTCCAAATTATTATTCGGCTTGCTTGTCATGACTGTCTTGAAAGTATGAATATGGCTATATAACCAAAAGTGCTGCAACTACACCTGATTCTGATTTATAACATGGAATGTGAAAGGTCTGAATAATTTTAAAAAACGTAAAAGGATATTCACTCATCTGTCGACTTTCAAACCAGACATTGTCTTTCTACAGGAGACACATCTGTGCTCCATGCAAAGCAATAGGTTGACACAAAGTTGGGTCTCCCAGGTCTACCATTCTGCATTTAACTCTAAATCGCGGTGGGTTGCCATTTTTGTTAGAAAACATTTTCATTTCACCACTTCAAATGGTCGCTTTCTGATAGTTACTGGCAGGCTCCACAACACTCCAGATATTTTGGTGAATACTTATGCACCAACTTGGGACAATCCCCAATTTTTTATAAGACTGATTGGCCTGCTGCCAGATTTAAATACACATCACCTGATTATGGGTGGGGATTTGAATCTGGTATTCGATCCCAACCTTGACAGGTCTAAGCCACATCAGTCTACTGGGACCTCCAGATCAGTGTCCGTTTTGAATACATTTCTTCAAAACTATGGTATTTCAGATCCACTGCGTATCACTGAGCCCTTAGCAAAATACTATTCTTCTTCTCCCCTGTGCATCATTTGTATTCGAGGATTGATTATTTTCTTTTGGATAATTTCCTTATCCCAAGGGTCACCATGTGTAAATAACATGTAATTGTAATTTCACATCATGCACCAGTACAGGTTGATATCTCATTTTCAAATGTGTGCACAAGGCAGCGTTTCTGGAAATTTGACTTTGAGTTTTGCAAGTTCATTGAGTACCACATCGAGTTTTTCTAGAAACGAATAACACTCCAGATGTTTCAAAATCTATAATTTGGGAGTCGCTAAAGGCATATCTGCGGGGCCAAATTATTTCTTTTTCGTCTTATAAGAATAAAAAGCGAAACGAACAACTTCGAGAACTGACAGATCCATAAATCCTCAATCTGTATATGGCATTGTTTAATACAGTTTAAAATCCTGTATTAATGCTGCTTTCAAGCTATTTTATCAGGATTTCTATACTTATACTTACTCTATACTAATAATCAGTGGGGGACCGATTATTCAGAGGCTGACTTGGACTTCCTCTTGGGAAACATAGATATTACCTCTGCAGAAATATTGCAGGCAGTTAATTCTTTGCAAAATGGCAAGGCACCTGGCCCAGATGGCTTCTCATGTGATTTCTATAAACACTTTGCCGGCAAGTTAGTCTCTTTACTGTCTGAGGTTTTTTTCAGAAATTCAGGCAACAAGCACGTTGCCACAAACTCTGTCCCAAGCCACAATCTCTGTAATACTCAAAAAAGACAAGGATCCTCAAAAATGTAGATCCTATTGCCCCATTAGTCTACTGAATGTGGATTATAAGATCCTAACAAAGGTTCTTGCACTTCGTATTGAGAAGGTAGCACCCTTCTATTATACATGATGACCAAACAGGCTTTATAGTGAACCGCCAGTCACATTTCAATATCAGACGTCTGTTAAATATCCTATATTGTGACCATTGATCACCCTGAGATAATAGCCTCACTAGATGCCAAGAAGGCTTTTGACTGTGTGGATTGGCAATATCTGCTCTCTGTTTTGAAAAAAATTGGCTTTGGTTCTAATTTTATTTCATGGATCAGGACTTTGTACTCAGCGCCCCTGTCTTCAATCCGCACCAATAAAACTATTTTGGAATACTTTTCCCCTACATAGAGGTAGCCGCCAGGGATGCCCCTTAAGCCCCCTCCTAGGGGAAACACTATTCATAAGTGCTCTTTGTATGCAGATGATCTCCTTCTGTATATTACAGATCCGGAGGAATCAATTCCTTCAGCTCTGGACCTCATTGGATCCTTTGGCCGCCTGTCTGGTTACAGATTGAACCTGGCTAAAAGCACTATTAACAGTCTGGCAA